TAGCCGCATCAACATTCCTAACAACCCAAGTTGGCCTCGCTTCCGGCAGGATTTGAAGGAGCGCCAGAGCCTGGGCTTCCCATTAACCCAGGGATGTCCAGGCTCTTATTGTTTAGGGTTCGGGGCTTTAGGTTTTAGGGTTTAGGTCCGCCGACCCTGGCAGCGTGTTGGATGGGAAAAGGAGGTGAAAACCTCCCTCTTTCCCTTTACCCCCCACACGGCGGCGGGGGGGGGGGTAGGGGGGGGTACCCGGGCAGCTTTTCCATGGAGGGCCAGGCCACCCACACTGCATAAACTCACGGACCATAGGCGGTTTCGGCACAGGACACAGGACACAGGGGTCCTTTACCCCCCCTCCCCCCCCCCCCCCCCCCCCCCCCCCCCCCCGCGCCCCCCCCCCCAACCCGCTCCTTCCCCGGCTTCAGCTCCTGTTTGGGTCCTGGTGCTACCCCCTACCCCCCCCCCCCCAACGTTTCACAGAGGCTCAAGCAAATCAACTTTTGGCATCCTTTGAGCTGACGAGCGCGTTTAAACCTTTCAACTATGCTATGCTCCAGCGGGGTCGGCGGCTGGAGCCGGAGGCTCTAGTGTTAGTAGCACGCACTACGCTTTAAACCCTAAGCCCTAAACTCTAAACCCCCAACCAAGAAAAGGGTACACACCAAGGGCACCATTGGGAGTCCCAGGAGCCGGCTGCCAGGCCGAGTCCCAGGCGCAGGACGCCAGGGCCTAGTTCGGCGAGCAGGCCCTATAATGGTTTTGGGTTTAGGGTTTGGGGTTTGGGGTTTAGGGTTTGGGGTTTGGGGTTTAGGGCTAGGGTTTAGGGTTGAAGGTTTAGGGTATATTGATAGGTTTAGTGGTGCGAGAGAAAGTTCTCGTTTCCTGTTCTTCAAAGAACATACATGCTATACTTACTGATGTTGCTAGCGTAGTCCGCGACCGTGCAGGCATTCCCGCTGTCACGCACAGTCCTTGCTTTGTAACTTGAGAGTCGCCCTAACCCTAGACCCTAAACCCTAAACCCTACACCCTAAACCCTAAACCCTAAACCCTAAACCCTAAACCCTAAACCCTAAACCCTAAACCCTAAACCCTAAACCCTAAACCTAAACCCTAAACCCTAAACCCTATACCCTGGCCAACAAGGCCCGGGCGTTGTTGTAGCTCACTCCGTCCAAAGGGAAGCCTCTTTTGGCCCCGCCTCTCGCGTGGATGTGCATGTTACTATGTTGCAGAGCCGCGGTTTAGGGTTTAGGGTTTAGGGTTTAGGGCTTAGGGCTTAGGGCTTAGGGTTTAGGGTTTAGGGTTTAGATTCTACTTTTATACCCCCCCAAACCCCATTCGCATGACATTCCCGTACAGATTCTGGACCTTTGCAGAAATCTGATGCCATGCTTTTTTCTGCTGCAATCCATATGCAGCAAAGTTGTAGATTTGTTCAGTGCTCTGAACTATTGCTGAGGATGCAGATGACATCTTCTTCACTTAATTATTGACTTCGACAGGCTTTCGCCCGCATGCCCCCAAAACCCTATTCTAAATCTTATGTCCCACATTAGTTGGGGTGCACGTTTGTACTAGAAGGGGATCCTACTATATATTTGGGGGTCTGTAGTAGGGGTCCCCTGACTATCGTGCCACCCGATCTGAGTTTCGGAAGCTTATGGCCATCTAAGGCCCCCTTACCTATGCTGAACTTGGAACCCTAGCAAAAAATACAAATTTAGCTGTTTCTTAGGGAAAAGCCGTACTCAAAACTTAAAATCTCTTCCCAAAGAATCCCTAAGTTACGGCTTACAGGGTGGGCGCCTTGCAATAGCGCCAAGGCGTGGCGCCAGCCGCAAGCTTGCACCACCGTGTTGTAGCTCACCACACTCGGCTGCCTAGGCTCGGCTGCACGTCAAGGGAGCTGAAATGTGCACCTGAAACTTCTTGAACTACTGGGTTTAGGGTTTAGGGTTCAGGGTTTCGGGTTTCGGGTTTAGGGTTTAGGGATTAGGGTTTAGGGTTTAGGGCTTAGGGTTTAGGGTTAGGGTTTAGGGTTTAGGGTTTAGGGTACCAAACCTGCCCAGAGGGTCGACTGGTGGTACGATTGTGGCATTAGGTACCCCAAAACCCTACTTCGTATTGTTTTTGGGTACCTAATTCCATCATCATACTACAGATGGACCCTCTGGATTCGTTTACATACCCTGTATTACTGAAGTAGTTCCAGGAGCGCCGGGGCAAGCAGAGGATGTCAGAGGAACAGGAGCCCTCTGATGTCTCAGGTACGGAAGGCTGTAGGGGATCCAAAGGTGAGAGTGATCAGGTGAAATAGTACAGAGGGCCCTAGATCGCAAGCCCTCCTAATAAACCCTAAACCCTAAACCCTAAACCCTAAACCCTAAACCCTAAACCCTCCTAAACGGCCATAAGCCGCCTCTGTCAGAGGCGAGTGGCATGCTTGCATGCTCCATGCCGCTGAGGGTGTGCAGAGATGACTTCCATGCCATGCCAAGGGAGCTCAGCACCTTGGTAGATTTTGCGGGGTGTAGGGTTTAGGGTTTAGAGTTTAGGGTTCCTCTTTTGACCGCCACTTTAGGGATCTTCCCGTTTGGAGTCGGAATTGTTCCCCAAGGCCACATGTTGCAATGGTAAGGTTTCGGATTCAAGGGTCAGGGCTTCCCATAGGGCCTTAGCCATAGGACTTTGAGTGGAGAACCTTGCTGCAGGCTACCATCCCTTTCTCAGGCAGAAAGAAACCCCAAGCCTCCACCCCCCGCCCCCCCCCCCTCCCCCAATTGCACAAACCCCTGACAGACATGCGTTTAAGGGCCATTCAAAGCAGCCCAAATCCTAAACTCTAAACTCTAAACCCGAAGCCCTGCTTGAGAGAACGAAGGCACGGTGTTGTAGTGTGCCACCTGAAGGGCTGTAGACAGTGGGTTTTGGGTTTAGGGTTTAGGGTTTAGGGTTTAGGGTTTAGGGTTTTAGGGTTTAGGGTTTAGGGTTTAGGGTTTGGGACTGGCTCAACATGGCCTACAGAACCTTTCATCTTGGGGCTACAGCCTGTTGTTCTGGGTACTTTGGGGGCCGGGGGTCCAGGTAGGTTAAGTTAGGCAGCCGAATCCGCGCGCCTCAGAAATTCTTCAGCCTCTTTACTGCAGACAATAAAACACTTTCAGCCGCATACTTTTAGGGGTCTAAGGCCATGGCACACACGTAATATAGGGGCCTTAAAAATTAGAATAGGGTGTTGCGGGGTGATTATAGTATACTTAAATAGGGAGCATAAGGGAATAACTATTTGAAATTTTTCCGTCCACTAGATTACACTGTTTGTGGAGGCCTTTGGGTGTTCGTGGTGGTTGAGGCGGCCCTGTCACCGGCCCTGGGTTCCAGGGCCCTGATTAGCTCTTGCGCTAAACCCTAAACCCTAAACCCTAAACCCTAAGCCCTAAACCCTAAAACCCTAAACCCTAAACCCTAAACCCTAAACCCTAAACCCTAAACCCAAAAACCAAAAACCCCAACCCCAAACCCTAAACCCTAAACCCCCAAGCCCCCCAAAGTCCCCCAAAGCCCCCCCAAAAAAAGCCGGAGGCCTCGGGCGACAGCGCGGCCAGGCAACCAAGTAGCTGCGAGGCCACCCTGGTGGAGCAGTAGCGGACTTGGCAAATTGGGACTAGGGTCTAGGGGTTAGATGAATTAAACCTGAACCAACGCCGCGGTGTCCGTATTCTGGCAACAATTCAGAGAAGCTCTGACCTGGGAATTCAGGGTGCAGTTTTGAGCGACACCCTCAACTGCTAACACCAAACATCGGGACAGCGAAAGCCCCCCTAAATTGGGATTTTAGGGGGTTTAGGCCTTAGGGTTTAGGGTTAAGGGTTAAGGGTTTAGGGTTTAGGGTTTAGGGTTTAGGGTTTAGGGTTTAGGGTTTAGGGTATGTGCCCCCTTATACGAACAGTCCTCAATAGGGGGCGGCCATGAGACTGTTTAGGGCATGCGCGCGAGAAAGACTCAAGAGTCGGCCATGGAGAACCCAGAAGTCCCTATAGGGTTTAGGGTTTAGGGTTTAGGGTTTAGGGTTTAGGGTTTAGGGTTTAGGGTTTAGGGTTTAGGGTTTAGGGTTTAGGGTTTAGGGTTTAGGGTTTAGGGTTTAGCTACAGGCACAAATCTCGCAAGCTCAAAACTCTAGAGCCCGAAAACCCGGAAGCCTGAATGTGAAGTTCATTTTGGGGGTGTCGATAACTAGACCCAGGCCCAGGAGTAACCTAGGAGTAAAAAGGGTACCCTTTTTGGTTTTAAGGGGCTTAAAAGGGAACCCCAACCCTAAAAAAGGGAATAAGGGCCTACCCCGTGTCCTAGGAAGGCTGCTGCCTCCAGCTGTCCTCCTCGCGGCAGGCGCTGGCTGCAGCAGCGGCGGTGGCGGGAATGGGCTGAAGGCCGGCCTGGTCGTTTGGGGTTTCTGGGTTGCCCAGTAACCTGGGACTAAAAAGGGTGCCCTTTTTGGCTTAAACGGGTTTATAAGGGAACCTAAACCCCCCCAAAAAGGGAAATAGGGCACTACTGGGCATCCTAGGTTTTGGATAGACTTTAGGGCTTCGGGTTCAGGCCACGATTCCTGATTGCCCGACTAAGTCTTAAGCCTTTCCGGAAGCCACAAGACCCGCAATCTCAGACATCGGTTTTGTGGTCGAGGGGCCCAAGCGGGAAGACACCCAACAAATCGAACATCCGAACAGTCAGGCGAGATCCGTATGCCCTGTGTAGGTCAACTCTGCCCGAAAATGAGGGTTTAGGTTCAGGGTTTAGGGTGGTTTGGGCCTTAGGGGCATTATGTTCAGGGTTCTAAGACAGGGGGCTCACGGGCATCTGCACGCACTAGCTTCTCCTGCAAACTTTAGCTCGGACAACCTCGGCGCTCTAAACCCTAAATTGACACACTCCTTCCTCCAGTCATAGTCATAGAGAGGAACCGCGACGCTCAGGTGTAGGGTTTAGGGTCGAGTCGCTCATTGTTCGGCCGCCGGTGTCGTCAGGGGCTTGGAGCCATCAGGCTCGGGCAGTCGATAGAAGCGAAGGACGGCTTCGACCGGGCCCGCGAGCTCCACCCTGTGATACTGCTGCGGTTCCACCACCGCGCGCTCCTCGGGACCTACGGCGCAAGAAGCAAGTGTAAGCCCTGTCTTGCCGTCAAGGATGTGGAAATGGAGCTGGCCGCTCAGCACCGTCAGCTCTGCCCAGACCCCGACCTTTGTGTTGTGAGCGGTCAGGAAACCCTTGGGGAAGGTGTCCCGGTTCCACTGCTTGTTCACCTTGTAGCAATAAGCTTCCCTGGGCAACTTCTTCCACGTGTATGCGAAGGCAGGCGCTACGGCGGCAACGGTGCGACGGCGCAGAGAGCAAACAGCCAAGATGCCAACAGCAGCAGCCACGCCGCAGACGGCCACCGGCACAAGCCACGACGAGCCTCTCGTCGCCATTGCCTAATTTAGGGTTTAGGGTTCAGAACCCTAAACCCTAAACCCTCAACCCTAAACCCTCAACCCTCAACCCTAAACCCTAAACCCTAAAGCCCAAACCCTAAACCGACCGGGAGGACACTCGAGCCGAGATGGCTATGGTGGGGGAGAGCTCAGGCTCACGCAGGGCGGGGGGGGGGGGGCTTGGCTGCTTTGCAGCATGAGGAATCCCCGACTCGGACATTGCCCACCTCCATATGGGCCCAGTCCCATTGCCACACGCACGGCCGGTGGTCCTTGAGCGCTTTGCCAAGTACCAGTCCAAGCGTGCGCACCACCCTCTCGCCGGACACGCCCTAGCTGGGAGGGGACACCCCGGGTGTGCCTCGCCGCCACACTCTCGGCCCAAAAAAGGGCTTTCTAGAAACCCCAAGGCCCCTCAACCACCCTAAGCCCGCCCTAAACCCTAAACCTTAAACCTTATAAACCCTAAACCCTAAACCCTAAAACCCTAAACCCGTGCTCTTCGCCCACAGCCTCACGGAGCCAGCCCAGCATGCGCAGGGCGCAGCCCCAAGTGCCTGCATCCGGGGCTCAAGGGACTCAAGAGAAAAACCCTTCCCCTTAAAGGGGAACCCTAAACCCTAAGCCCTAAACCCGAAACCCCAAACCCTAAACCCTAAAGGGGGCTCGTTGGGCATCAGAGGGCTACTTAGATCATTTGGCTAGGTTGTTGCTGTTGGTGTTGCTCTTTCCTTTTTTGGTGTTTTATTTTTTGTTCGGGGGAGGGGGGGCAGAATTAAGACAAATGTGCTTCAAGCCGCCGACATCAAAACGTGGCTTTACATCCAGGCTGTCGGTACTGGACTCTGCACCAAGCTTTGGGATTGGCCAGGGCTTGAAGATCTTGATGCTTCTGGAGTGGGCCGCAGGGACTTCCCAAACCGCAAACCCCAAACCCCAAACTCCAAACCCAGAACCCCAAATCCTAAACCCTGAACCCTGTATGCTTGGTAAAAAAGAAAAAAAGAATACAGGAAACTTGGGAGCGCTGGATCAATGGCTCGCCTACAGGGCCCCCGGCACAGGCCACGGTGACGGCCCCGAAGGACAGGGTGTCTGCCAATGCCCAGTGCAACCTCGCTTGCTCGTCATATGAAGTAGGGCTTGCATTCCTTGTACTGCTGACTCGAGGTCGTGAATCACATGCTTACATTCCTTGTATATCCGCAAAAGGACACCCAGCATATACACTCGCCAATGTTAAACAGGAACCTTACATACACTCACCAATATCAGTTATATAAACCCTGTTTCTGTGTGTGTGTGTGTGTGTGTGTGTGTGTGTGTGTGTGTGTGTGTGTGTGTGTGTGTGTGTGTGTGTGTGTGTGTGTGTGTGTGTGTGTGTGTGTGTGTGTGTGTGTGTGTGTGTGTGTGTGTGTGTGTGTGTGTGTGTGTGTGTGTGTGTGTGTGTGTGTGTGTGTGTGTGTGTGTGTGTGTGTGTGTGTGTGTGTGTGTGTGTGTGTGTGTGTGTGTGTGTGTGTGGTGTGTGTGTGTGTGTGTGTGTGTGTGTGTGTGTGTGTGTGTGTGTGTGTGTGTGTGTGTGTGTGTGTGTGTGTGTGTGTGTGTGTGTGTGTGTGTGTGTGTGTGTGTGTGTGTGTGTGTGTGTGTGTGTGTGTGTGTGTGTGTGTGTGTGTGTGTGTGTGTGTGTGTGTGTGTGTGTGTGTGTGTGTGTGTGTGTGTGTGTGTGTGTGTGTGTGTGTGTGTGTGTGTGTGTGTGTGTGTGTGTGTGTGTGTGTGTGTGTGTGTGTGTGTGTGTGTGTGTGTGTGTGTGTGTGTGTGTGTGTGTGTGTGTGTGTGTGTGTGTGTGTGTGTGTGTGTGTGTGTGTGTGTGTGTGTGTGTGTGTGTGTGTGTGTGTGTGTGTGTGTGTGTGTGTGTGTGTGTGTGTGTGTGTGTGTGTGTGTGTGTGTGTGTGTGTGTGTGTGTGTGTGTGTGTGTGTGTGTGTGTGTGTGTGTGTGTGTGTGTGTGTGTGTGTGTGTGTGTGTGTGTGTGTGTGTGTGTGTGTGTGTGTGTGTGTGTGTGTGTGTGTGTGTGTGTGTGTGTGTGTGTGTGTGTGTGTGTGTGGGTGTGTGGGTGGTCGACCAGGGTGCGCTCGGCCTTGTTACAACGCAGCAGCCCCTCCAGCGCGAAGGCTTAAAGGGCCAACCGCGGGCCCCTCATCCATGCGTGTTTGCATCACCCAGATCTCCACGGGCCCGCCCCCCCAAACCAGAAAGAGCAAGATACGCTCAATCCGGTAAGGGTTGGATAGAACACTTGGCAAGACAGCCCGCATCAACGATCCAAAGCTCTTCTCATGGCGATCCCTCGCCAGGATACTAAGCAAGGGATGCAAGCACGGAGACAGGGCAATCTAGTTACTCTAGGGTCCACCACACTCACGCACATCACGCACCGGCAGCACGTTAGGGGCCACCTCCACCAAATGGCACAAGGAGCCATTCCCCTCAAGCTGCACACTTCACTGACAATCAATATGCCCTTGGCGTATGGGTGAGCACCCAAAACTTTAGGTGCCCCCCTGGACAGAAGGGTGATAAACCCTGTTTCATATGCTCTTAGGGATGAAGGTGCAGGGGATGTGGGACCTGAGGCCTCTTGAAAGGTTCTTCTTGTCTTGTTGATCCCCGCGGCTAGCTGCATGAGTCGTGGTCTTTGCTCCTTTGCTCCGTCCTCAAGGAGCTCTACTTAGTTGCTGAGTTCATAAGCCCCGAAGAAGTGTACACTTTCAGTTCCAAAGGGGGTTAGAATACTCCAAGAAGTGCAAAGTGTACTCACTCAGCTACTAAGTCTAAGGTTCCTTGCAGGAGCAGGGGGAACCCGGAACCCCAAACCTCGGAAGCCCCTTAAAGACCCCGAAAACCCTAACCCCAAAACCCCCTAAAGCCCCGAAAGCCCCAAAACCCCCAAAACCCCCAAAACGCCCACGACCCTTAAAGCCCCTAAAGCCCCAAACTCTACTCCCCTAAAGTCCCTAAAGCCCCAAACCCTGAGACCCCCAAACCCTACGACCCCCCCAAACCCTAAACCCCAAACCCCAAACCCTAAACCCCAAACCCTAAACCCCAAACCCTAAACCCTACACCCCAAACCCTAAGCCCTAAGCCTAAACCCCAAACCCTAAACCCTAAGGCCCTCAAACTCTCAAGGGCCCGAGGCTCGGACCGCAACAGCTCCACACTTTGGCTCCAGCGCAGACATGGCAAGGCACAGTTGATGCCTCGGGTTTGCTAGGGGTTTAGGGTTTGGGGTTTAGGGTTTGGGGTTCAGTGTTTGGGGTTCAGGGTTTGGGGTTTAGGGTTCAGGGTTTGGGTTTAGGGTTTAGGGTTTAGGGTTTAGGGTCTGGGGTTAGGGTTTAGGGTTTCGGGTCTGGGGTTTAGGGGGGTTTGAATCCTCGCGGCAGGCGCCTGGTCTCTCGGTTGCACATGCTCAGCGCAATCTGCACCTACATGAACACTACAATTCCTCCGAAGATCCCCTAAACCCAAAACCCAAAACCCTAAACCCTACACCCTTTACCCTCTACCCTAAACCCTAAACCCTAAACCCTAAACCCTAAACCCTCAACCCTAAACCCTAAGTCCGTCTTGCCAGAGCTCAAAATTACTAACCTGAGGACTCTTGGAACCCATGCCCAACAGGAAGCAACAATAGGGCTCAGCAATCAACCCCCGGCCAACGACCAAGCTTACCAAGCCAACTTCTCAAAGGGGGTAGCTGGCCTTATGTACTGTACCAGAAACCAGGAGAATCCGAAATCCTGAGCCCTAAACCCTAAACCCTGAACCCTAAACCCTAAACCCTAAACCCTAAACCCTGAAACCTTGGAGTTCCATTGGGCCGCTGAGACACTGATCGCATCAGGCAGCCTTGGCTGTTGGGATGCACGTCTCCCGGGAGCAAGAGGCCCAACAGCCCCGAAGGGTGCCTTTGGGTTTAGGGTTCGGGGTTTAGGGTTTGGGGTTTGGGGTTTAGGGTTTAGGGGTTAGGGGTTAGGGTTTAGGGTTTAGGGCTGAGGGTTTGGGTTATTGTTTAGGGTTGCTTCGGGGTTCAACTTCTAAGGGCTCTAATCGCCGGGGAAAGGGGGGGGGGGGGGGAGTGCCCACGCCTTAAGCCCTAAAGTTTTACACCCAGCCCCCACAAGAATCAAAAGACCGGGGCCTCAAATCCTGACCCGAAGCCCTAAACCCTACAAACCCTATACTATGAACCCTACAACCCTAGACGAGAAGTCGGGGCACAAGCTCCGAAGTGGTAGTTGTGCAAGGAGCTGAGCTGCGTGGTGCCAGCAGGCTTTCAGCCTGAATGGGCGGCGAGCTGCTTCGGGTTTGGGTCTCAATATAAGGGGGCCTCTTCCAGCAGAGAAAGGGTGCTTGGAGGTTCATGGGTAGTTGTAAATAGGGCCAGAAGTACCTTACTTCAGGTTATCATACAGGTTACCTTACTTATAACCCTACTTATAACTACCCATGAACAGTTTCGGGTAATGCGGACCGAAGTCTGTGCCATGAAGGTGAAACAGAGTGTTTTGCTTCAAGCATCGGACTCTAGAAAATGTCAAGGCTGCGGTTGCAATGAAGCTTCAATGACACAACCCTAAACCCTAAACCCTAAGCAGGATCCGTAGCGAGCCGATAAAGTATCGTCAGAGTGTGTGGCTCAACAGAGAACGGCAGGTGGTGGCGACAAAAATGACATTACTCATTGGCATCTCAAGTTGACTAAATAACGTGGGGTCTTTGTGTGTTCCCCAGGAGTTGCACCTAAACCCTAGACCATAAACCCTAAACCCTCGTATGCAGCGTGAAGATTTTGAGAAGCGCCCTTGCAGCTTTGAAGCGTTTCTTGGCCTTCTGGGAAAACGCGCGAGAAATCGATCGGTGCTGGGCTGCTCCCAACTTTCTAGAGATTATGCAATAAAATTCTGTTATCAATAGAATAGTAATTATAAGAACATAA